GAGTGCCGTGCCTAACTATACATAGCACACACATACCTGTCAACCCCTGATCAACGCCTACCCTATTACAGACCAATTCGGAGGTTATTGGTCGCCCCGTGCCCTTATAAATCTCGACGTTCATCCTGTAAAGTCCCATCACAAGGGAGAAACACAAATTGACACGGTGTTTTGGCCCGTATTGAAACGGCTGTACGCCGCATGGACCTGAAAACTCAATTTCCCCGTACAAGAATACGGGCTAAACCGTATGGGGTTGACAAATATGCGCACATACGTGCGTACAATGTGTACCCCATAACTTGATATACTCGAGTGTGGGTTAAATAGTCTCACTACACATGCATTGAACCGAATCAGCCGATGACGGAAGCTCAGCAAGCAAGGTGTTGGGCCGGCGGGGACAATGATTGGATGGGTGAGCGTCGCGTGCATGAGAGGCAAAAGCGCTACAGGCGACGTGGGCAGTGAGAGAGGGTGATCCATGGTTCGGAAATCATCCTCCACCCGTCATCAACCCGTAACTCACCTGCGCCGTCACATGTGGTACAATTGAACACGTAGGCTGTCGCGACAAATATCCATAATACAGGTAGGGGGGGAATTGGGGGGGGGGGGGGGCTAGATCGTGTAAATATAAATGTGTCGTTAAACCCGCCACCACCCGACACAGCCGATTAGTACGGTTTGTCACGTAAACAGAACGTGCCAATTCGTTACTAGTACAGCACACTGGTGTGTTGTGGAGAGCAAATCCACAACATTTACAATCTGTAAATGTGGATTCTATGGTCAAATATCGTTCACAGCCACGCGAGGGCTTGGGGGTGCCTTATTCCAGCAGTGGGTTGACAAAACTGGCTGTACAAGTCCGTGTAAACATCATCAGCCATGAATATCACCTTAGCACCTGCACACAAGGCATGTACTAGCATATATACGTTTATATGTAGAGTCTGCACATATGGCCTTCATAGGTGCTCACTAGCAGCACTTGACCCAAAAGTCTGTTAAGTTTTTTGTGTCTGGTTTGTTGTTACCCCCCCCCCGCGCCGCTGCACCTCCGATTCACAAGGTTGGCTACGTACGGTGCGAAATAAGTACAACATCGATACGGTACCTCTAAAGGGAATTTATTATCGTCACAATTCGTTTTGCCTTTCACACGGTAGTATATTGGCCCGTATACCACGAGGCCATCGACCAAAATGTGAAATCTGGCCCTGTGATCATGCCTCTGCTGTCCAACTCTCAACGACAAAAACAACCTCCGGTGAAAAACCGCTTGCCGCAAAATCATCGGCGGCCGGCAGTCGGAATCCAATTTTTCATTTCCACATTTTTTAGTGCTGGAAAGAGGAGGGCACACTGTGTGATAGCGATGCAGGGGAGTGGTTACGAGGCGTGGGGAGGAGGGTAGGTCATATGCTCCCCCCCATCCACCCCTCCGTGTCCAAACAATAACTCTCTCTAATGAAATGCAGATATTTAGGGGTTTTTGCCGGTTGGGGGGGGGGAGATCTTGTTTGCCAGCGAAAAGACGTTCTCCAGTACAATGCTTTTGGCGGGTGTTCGCGGCCCGTTTACGAAAATAAATACCCGCACTACGACGGATATTTGGCCAAAACATGTTGTTAGCGTTGTTGTTGCTGCTGCTGTTGTTATTGCAGATGGGAAATGTGAAAAAGTGAATCCCATTGCTCTGCGGGTGATCTAACGTGCGACGGTTTAAAATTATAAATGTCACTTGCTGTCCTCTCCCTTAAATATACAGTAAATGTTTTCATTTCATTACAAACTTGTCTCGTCAGCCTCACGTTATTTGCTTCCAAAACTGCCACATTTATTTTCAATCCACACAGCTGGTGTCAATCATCGGGGAATGTTGGGCCATACTTAACCGCAATAGCCAGAGTGGGTCGGTGGAAGGTGGTGGTGGGTGGAGATCTATTCACACATCACGGCCACTTCTTATGGCAGATCTTTATGTAGATTTGAGAGCAGCATATTTGTACGTTGAAGGGGTCGAGCCAGATGATCGATGCCTCCTTCGTATTTGTGGAACTGCCATTCATATTTACCGTGGCTGGGAATCGAACTCAGGTGATGGGTTGTTTTTTTTTTACATTCACTATGACTATACTCTCAAAATAATATATTATCGCGTGTAAATTATTTAAACCAAATTTCAATACATATCCAAATTGTACCACCTTTAGGTAATAACTAATCATCGGCCATGATCAATCCACTGCTGGATGAAGCCCTCCCCCAAGTCAGCGCCACCGCTGACGATCTCGCAATGTACACCCAGCACACGTTAATGATCACGTATCTGAACTACACAGATACTGCAAAAATGTAAAGCCTTCAAAATCTCCCTTTCATGGGTACATTGGCCTACTCTTCCATGCTGGCTTGTAACCGATGGGAGTACTCACAACACACCACATGCGCCCTGCCGATAGACTTCGGTGTACCCAATTATACTGCGTGGTGGGCACGTCCCTGAACTGCCGCTATGGGACATCGAACCGGCGAACCTCCAGATGACGAAGGCAGTGTACGAACCATTCCAGATTGACGAGATGTTGACTCCCTCGCTTGGTACGCAGGAGGTCGTGGGTTCGATCCCGACCCTGACGCCTGCTGCTGTATATTTGGAGTTTGTGGTGTTTCTCTCTATCCCTGTGGTCGCGTGGATTTTTCTCCCGGTCCTCCGATTTTTTCCCCCTCCACATTTACAATCAACATCACGCGTTTAGAGTGTTTGGATGCCCTAACTGTCCACGTGATGAGCTACTTCGTTGAGCTATTTGTGGCCGGATCACTTCAGAAAAAGAGCTATACAGCTCAGTGGGCCTTACCTGGTAAAATAAAAAGTTTAGTTAATAGTTTAACACGTAGGCTTTCACTACCAATATCATCCATAATATATTTTTTTGGGTTAGATCGCATAAATGTGTCGTTAAACCCGCCACCACCCGACACAGCCAATTAGTAAGGTTTGTCACGTAAATGAAACATGCCAATTCGTTACTAGTACAGCACTCCGGTGTGCTGCAGATCAAATCCACAACACTTACAATCTGAGTACGACGTTTCGCAAGTAATTACAACTAGCATCATCAGGCGGACAGCCAGATGTGTGGAGAAATCCTCCAGGTTCAAGGATGTTTGGGCGTTTCAACAGAAAGCCTTGATTGCTGGAGCAGTCAGTGCGTGGAGGGGAGTAGAGTGAGATGAGAGGGAGAGGTAGGACAGTGAGTGGAGGGGAGTGGAGTGAGATGAGAGAGGTAGGAGGGTGAGTGGAGGGGAGTGGAGTGAGATGAGAGGGGAGAGGTAGGAGAATGAGTGGAGGGGAGTGGAGTGAGATGAGAGGGGAGAGATATGGGAGTGTGTGGAGGGGAGTAGAGTGAGATGAGAGGGGAGAGGTAGGAGAATGAGTGGAGGGGAGTGGAGTGAGATGAGAGGGGAGAGATATGGGAGTGTGTGGAGGGGAGTAGAGTCAGATGAGAGGGAGAGGTAGGAGAGTGCGTGGAGGGGAGTGGAGTGAGATGAGAGGGAGAGGTAGGAGAGTGCGTGGAGGGGAGTGGAGTGAGATGAGAGGGAGAGGTAGGAGAGTGAGTGGTGGGGAGTAGAGTGAGATGAGAGGGGAGAGGTAAGAGAGTGAGTGGAGGGGAGTAGAGTCAGATGAGAGGGGAGAGGTAGGGGAGTGGAGGGGAGTGGAGTGAGATGAGAGGGAGAGGTAGGAGAGTGCGTGGAGGGGAGTGGAATGAGATGAGAGGGGAGAGGTAGGAGAGTGAGTGGAGTGAGATGAGATGAGAGAGGTAGGAGAGTGAGTGGAGGGGAGTGAGATGAGAGGGGAGAGGTAGGAGAGTGAGTGGAGGGGAGTGGAGTGAGATGAGAGGGGAGAGATATGGGAGTGAGTGGAGGGGAGTGGATTGAGATGAGAGGGGAGAGGCAGGAGAGTGAGTGGAGGGGAGTAGAGTGAGATGAGAGGGGAGAGGTAGGAGAGTGCGTGGAGGGGAGTGGAGTGAGATGAGAGGGAGAGGTAGGAGAGTGAGTGGAGGGGAGTAGAGTGAGATGAGAGGGGAGAGGTAGGAGAGTGCGTGGAGGGGAGTGGAGTGAGATGAGAGGGAGAGGTAGGAGAGTGAGTGGAGGGGAGTAGAGTGAGATGAGAGGGGAGAGGTAGGAGAGTGCGTGGAGGGGAGTGGAGTGAGATGAGAGGGAGAGGTAAGAGAGTGAGTGGAGGGGAGTAGAGTCAGATGAGAGGGGAGAGGTAGGGGAGTGGAGGGGAGTGGAGTGAGATGAGAGGGAGAGGTAGGAGAGTGCGTGGAGGGGAGTAGAGTGAGATGAGAGGGGAGAGGTAGGAGAGTGAGTGGAGGGGAGTGGATTGAGATGAGAGGGGAGAGGTAGGAGAGTGCGTGGAGGGGAGTAGAGTGAGATGAGAGGGGAGAGGTAGGAGAGTGAGTGGAGGGAGTGGAGTGAGATGAGAGGGGAGAGGTAGGAGAGTGAGTGGAGGGGAGTGGAGTGAGATGAGAGAGGTAGGAGAGTGAGTGGAGGGGAGTGACATGAGAAGGGAGAGGTAGGAGAGTGAGTGGAGGGGAGTGGAGTGAGATGAGAGGGGAGAGGTAGGAGAGTGAGTGGAGGGGAGTAGAATTTTGTGTTTAGTTTGTTGTCCTTCCCCTGCATCTCCGATTCGCACTGTTGGCTACGTACGGTGCGAAAGAAGTTGAACATACGCGCAGGCTTCAGATGTGCAAAGCTACTGCAAAGGCGAACTGAGGTACATGTGATAACACAACGCCCCGCCCCCTATCCCACTTCAATAAACTCACAACTGACACGACGTTCCAGGCAACGCCCCTGGGTCAGGGCGATGATACAAGGTCCCCCCTACGAACACACGCGTGTAAGCGCCCATCACCCTACATGAATCTACCAAATGCCCTGAGGGCACAGCCACTATTCATTTGTTACACCCGGAACAACTTGTATCTACCCTGGGGGCATTTATTACTTCCATACCTCTATCCCCACCAATCTGAGCACGTGCGTTCCGCAGTGATGTGTTTGTTGTGCTACCCGGCGAATCTCGTCACAATATAAACATTTGTTTAGTTTATGCAACAACAACAACAACAGTTGTCGTAATAACAGTAACTATGTCGGACAGCAGCGGCGTAAGAGTCACGTACATTCACAGCGAGCAGTACGTGTTGGCGTGCGATACACTCTCCAGAATTCCTCGGCGGGTAAACAACAACAACAATATTCTGCTATCTCTTTATTTATTATTACAACGGGTTATTTTCGTGTTTTTATACGTATATATATTCGTATTGTGTGTTCTTACAGGGGGGGGTGGTGGTGGCTGGTAGAGTGAAAGTAGCCTTCTGTGATTAGTAGCCACCGGCCAGAGAGAGAGAGGGAGACAGAGAGAGATACTGGATGTGATGTGCCGGGTGAGACGGATAGATGACGAGGTTCCGCGACTTCGATGAATCCCCCGGCCTTTCAGAAACCTCCTCGCATTAGTTCAGCGTGGTGAAGTAATAACTCGTGTACCGTGTCCACGGTGACCGCCACGATCCCTCGACCCGCACTCCATCCAGCAGCAGATTGAGCGAGGCGGGTCTCTCGGTGGCTCTCTGAATGCCCCGGCCACTCCACGTGGCGTGGAGACGTCCTTCACGTCTTCTCACGGGGCTAACAGGGACACCCGCCCCCCCCCCCCCCCCCAACGGGGAGTCGAACCCACGACTATGTTACGAAGGGGCCCTAAATAAAATGAAAAGACATAATTCAAGGCCGTAGCCATGGAGTCAACATTGTTGGGGGGGGGGGGGGTGGGGGCGGAGGACCAAATCTTCCAGGGGTTCTGGGGGTGTCGTCCCCCCCCCAGAAATAATCTAAATTTTAAAACTAATTTCCTGCCTAAAATATAAAAAATTCACTAACACATACGATGGACTTTTATTTTTTACAACAATGTCTAATAGTGTGATGGACTTTTTATTTTTTACAACAATGTCTAATAGTGTGATGGACTTTTTATTTTATTTTTTACAACAATGTCTAATAGTGTTATTGTAATACATCGCTCTGTTTTTTTCTTTTTTTACCTTTTCTTGTTTCATTGTTTGTAATGGCAGAGGTTAGGGGATTTATAAAGTACAACCATAACCACAAACATATAAACATAAATCTATTTTATAGCAATATATTGGGGGGGGACATTTTGATCATATTTGAATGTGTCCCCCCCCCGTAATTATAATATATATTATACTATATTATAATATATTATAATTACGGACTTGACATAAATATTCAAACGCAATTTTTCTTTACATAGTAAAGTAATTGTATTTTTTTCCCATTTGCTATACAGCCGGATAACACGACAAATCGCTAACCTTAAACACCCAGTCGTTCATAAAAATTGAAGGCGGTATAGTACTATAGTAATAGAGCTAGTGCAGAATCACTGAACCGGAATTGATAGCTTGAAAGCGTTTAGCGCGGGGCCCGTAGCTACATATGTAGCTAAAGTAGCTACATATGTAGCTACTTTAACTACGAGGATAATCCGGCACTGATGATCATCATCATATCCCTGCTGCTGCGGAGATTTCAGCGCGGCTGTGGGAATCTTGAAATGTGGTGCAGAGCTTTGTAAAGTGTTTTTTTTGCTCTCCCTTGCAATGCTTGCTTGGGCGGGGGGGGTCGTCAGCTTTTTCTGGTTTCCTACCTCCAGATTAACACGGCTGGGTATGTACGGTGGGAAAGAATTCAGCTTAGTTTATGTTAACACGTGCCCAACCATCCTCGCCTCGGTGGGAGGTCGCTCAATAACCTCCTCTGCTGTCGACATGGCACTCTCCCCTCTCATCTCACCCTCGTCCCTCCACTCACTCTCCTACTTCTCCCCTCTCATCTCACTCTACTCCCCTCCACGCACTCTCCTCCCTCTCCCCTCTCACCTCACTCTACTCCCCTCCACGCACTCTCCTGCCTCTCCCCTCTCATCTCACTCCACTCCCCTCCACTCACTCTCCTACCTCTCCCCTCTCATCTCACTCCACTCCCCTCCACGCACTCTCCTCCCTCTCCCCTCTCATCTCACTCCACTCCCCTCCACTCACTCTCCTACCTCTTCCCTCTCATCTCACTCTACTCCCCTCCACGCACTCTCCTACCTCTCCCCTCTCATCTCACTTGTCCCCTCCACGCACTCTCCTCCCTCTCCCCTCTCATCTCACTCCACTCCCCCCACACACTCTCCTACCTCTCACCTCACTCTACTCCCCTCCACTCCCGGCAACCAAGGTTTTTTTTTAAGCGCCCAACCATCCTCGTCTGTGAAATGTCGCTCATTATTTTAATTCGTCTCCTCTGCTGCCGGCATGGTCTGGACGTTCCTTGCCCAGACATCCGTGCTGCCGACTCCCTGCCACTTCATGTCCAAACTCAAGACGTTCCACTTCAGGCTCTCACTGTTTCATCTGTACCATCTGTCAATGAGTTCTAAACTAAACTTTTTTTTATTTATTTTACCAGGTAAAGTCCACAGCTATGTAACTCTTTTTCAAAGCCACCTGTCCAGAAATGATAGTTCAACAAAGTGGCTCATCACGTGGAATTTTATAGCAGCCAAATACTCTTAACGCCCGATGTTGATTCTCAATGCAACGCTTATTTCTACGGTGACCAGCTAATATGTTTGGCTGCTCTGGGTGGTTGAAGTATCTTAACGGCACAAATTTGTCCAGATGACGACGTGAACCAAATAATTGCAAACCCCCCCCAAAAAACAATTATGACTCGCGACACATTGTCCGCGAAAACCCACGTGTTGAGATGGTGATTCTGTCGGCTGAATTAACGAATGAATTAAAATAATACGCGCAACTGGATTCCGTGCCAGGGCCTAACAACAATGCAACCGGTTGGAGCCGTCTCTCTTTCATTGTCCTAGCCTGCCACCTGATGTCCAGTAGGAGGAATGCGGAACGCGCGCACTCAATCGGGACGTTGAACCAACGGAGCCCGTCTTCTCAGCCAAAGGTCACGGGGGTCACCCGTGACCCATTTGTCACCCATGAGCGAAGTTTGGGAGAGGGGGGGGAGGGCAACCCCCTCTCCCAAACTGGACACCTTCATTAATTTATTTTCAGTAGTTTACAATTAATATTACATTTTGACTTAAAACTTTCGTGACTGCAGGAATTCATATTCTTGGTTATTTCGGTAAAGTCACGTAGATAGAAAATACAAATCTAGAAAAATTTAAAATAATAAAAGCAAAAAATCACAATAAAAATAATTTAAAATAGCTATTCATCTTCTTGGTTCTTTCGGTAAAGTCACGTAGAATGGAAATAAAATGATAAAAATTAAACAATAAAGTAATTTTATTTTATTTCCATTCTACGTGACTTTACCGAAAGAACCAAGAAGATGAATCCCTGCAGTCGCGAAAGCTTTAAATCGAAATTTAAAATAGTAAATTAAAATTTAAAAAAATAATAAAAGCAAAATTTTGCATTTTATTTTACTATAATTGTATTTTTTTTGCTTTTATTATTTTCAACAATACTTTTATTATTTTTACTTTAAAAATTATTTATTATTATGTTTTTTATCGTGACTTTACCGAAAGAAACAAAAATACAATTAATAATATAAATAAATTATATGCACCCACGTTTTCTAATGTGAAGGGCACAGCGAGAACCCCCTCTCCAAACCCAAATATCGAAGTCAAACGCCACCTATGTTGTCAGCTGTAACTTCAGGACCCCCCCCCCTCCTTAATTGCTTCCTTCCTCTCCTTCCCCTTGCTCGGTCCCCCGCCCATCCTCCTCTTCCTATGTAATGCTGCAACCTGAGACGTTTGTTGTTGCCTCGCTTATGGGCCCTCTGCAAAGACGTGTGCGAGTTGTTGTTGAGGGCAGCAGCGAGGCCTGCGTTAAGGCCGCTGTCACACGTGGAGGTGGCAACCCCCCAGTTTGACGCCCGCCGGCGTCGCTCGGAGGGCCCTAAACAATCCACTGCTGGATGAAGTCCTCCAACCCCCCCCCCTCCCCTGCCATGCCATACCCGGTCCGTTTTCTCAAGTCTGCCGAGCTCTATAATGAAGAGTGTGCAGCACCGTATACCGCAATGAAGTTTAAAAAATCTGAATGTTTTTTTTTACTGGATTTATTCGATGAGCTATGAAGATCTTTTTCACAGATGTCCTAAGATCAACACAATGCCCACCTAGATCTCGGTACGAATAAATTCTTGCTGCCAATCCCAGATGGGTGGCAACCCTAGTCTGTGCTGGATTGTGCAGCCTGGGAGCATAGACGTAGAGTACAACAATGGATTTTACTGCACTGCCCTCTGCTGCCCACCACAACATATCCCCGAAGCAGCAGCCTGTAGCACCTGTTTTAAACATGGTTGTGAACAATCGTAAGCGCCATCTGAGGCTCAATTCTGCTTAGTGTTTGTAAACTCAGGGGCGGAGCCAGGATTTCAGGCCAGGGTGACATTCAACAAATTTTAATTTCAAGAATGATTTAGAGAGTCAGGCTTGTTGAACTAGACGCCATCGGTTTGGCGACACACTCTGACGATGCGGTTGCACGGAGTCCGCCAGACCGAGTGTCGTACGCTTACACGCAGAATGTCACCCCTGTCACCCCCCCCCCCCCCTGGTTCCGCCCCTGTGTAAACTGATGCATTGGGCGTAATTTGGCAAAGAATATGGGTCGGGAAAAATGTCTGCGAACATTGTTGCTCGCTACCCAAGTTTTTTGAGGGCTTGTAATGCCAGGTGTATCAAGTTTGTTTCGACGTTGCGCGCAAAATAGCAAATCAAAATTATGCATGCCTTAAACGTGTCTTGCGTGCTGCTGTGGTTCGCTGTATGAGCCTGTTTTAGCTTCACGTGTAACGAGGAGTGGATGGTGCGGTGTCGTGTGTTCCAACAGGCAAGCATGGTGCACACACTCATAGAATCGTACGGCCTGCTAAAGTACATGCGGTAAGAAGATGAGTCACGTGATGCACTCGATATAAAGTATATTTGCGATATGTATGAGATGCTTTGGAAAGTAAGACTCAAGTTAGATGTGTGCCCGGTGTCAATCGAATTACACAAATCTGGTCCCGCGCGCACACAACACACACTAAGACACGCACTAACACACGTGCCCACTAACATAGACACACGCTCATTGCGTTGTATGTATGAATATAGAACTTATTTCGCATGGTACGTAGACAACCTTGCTAATCGGAGGTGCGGGAATTAATAGCGTTAATGGAGCCGATTAAGATTGAGATCTCGGTGTGCGTGTGTGTGATGCAGACAGCACTAATTGCTTAGCGCGTCCCATGGAAAGTGCTTCACAATCATCGGGCGCGTGCGGCGTGGAATAAGTGAAATTTTTCTTCTTTGGTTCTTTCGGTAAAGTCACGTAGAATGAGAATAAAATAATAAATTGATAAAATAAAATAACAATAATATTCTCACGACGTTTCGGCCACAACACAAGCGGCCTTCATCAGGTGAAGGGACGAGACTGTCTGGAGGACAGCGAGACTGTCCTCCAGACAATAAAATAACAATATTCTCACGACGTTTCGGCCACAACACAAGCGGCCTTCATCAGGTGAAGGGACGAGACTGTCTGGAGGACAGCGAGACTGTCCTCCAGACAGTCTCGTCCCTTCACCAGACTGTCTGGAGGACAGTGAGACTGTCCTCCAGACAGTCTCGTCCCTTCACCTGATGAAGGCCGCTTGTGTTGTGGCCGAAACGTCGTGAGAATATTGTGTTATTTTATTTTATCAATTTATTATTTTATTCTCATTGTACGTGACTTTACCGAAAGAACCAAAGAAGATGAATCCTTGCAGTCACGAAAGCTTTAAATCGAAAAGTGAAATTTTATTTGAATGGGGAGTAAATTGTTAAACACGGAGCGAATAAAATAAGACCATCCCTGTACGATTCCAACAGTCGACTCCGAAATCAGCGAAGCGTACCATGTGTGATTTCAAAAGGATGTTTTGATTTAAAATTTTGATTTAAAGCTTTCGTGACTGCAGGGATTCATATTCTTGGTTCTTTCGGTAAAGTCACGTAGAAGGGAAACAATAAAATAATAAAAATATAAAACAATAAAAATTCTCACGAATTCTCACGAATTTGATTGTTTTATATTTTTATTATTTTATTGTTTCCCTTCTACGTGACTTTACCGAAAGAACCAAGAATATGATGTTTTGATTGTTGGAAATGTACCAAGCGTCGTAAGATGCGGAAAGTGGAAATTTGCTACAAACAAAGTTGTTTTGATTGACAAAATGTTTGAATGAAAAAAAAAAACATTGGGGTTCGGGGGCTGTTCCTACACAGCCCGTAATGGCCAGCTCCGAATCATTCGTTAATTTGGTGTCTTGTCAACATTTTTTTTTGCGCCCTCGTTTAAATGCGTGCCCGCGCGAGGTCCATCGGATCTGTTTAATCTCACGGCCATCCCGTAATTCTCCTGGAGGGAGCAGGTTCACGTAATCGGTGAGAATGCCATCTTAGGACGGAAAGTCGCCGCCAGAAGCTCTAACGATGCGTGCAACTTGGTTGCGCGCAACTGAATCTCTTCATGTGTGGACGTCTCTGCAACCTGCTGCAAGCGGTTGTGTGACTGCTTGCTCACGGTAGAGACTCGGACTCCACTTTCAAGCGATCTGCTCGGCGACTTGTTTCATCACCATGTGACACATTTGCGAACCTGTGATTGGTTGTTACGATCCTCATCACTCGTTACATTTTTGCGTTGCGTAGCTGCTCGCTCATACCCGGACATAGTAGCATGCATTCTGATTTAGTCGCGATTTTTGGTCGAGCAACTCATCGCTCATGAGTTGACCTGGCTTTAAGGTTACCTTTGCAATTGAACTTATTTTGCTTTATAGTAGACCAGGTAATATCTCATTGGCTTTTGACCAAATCACCCGGAACACGTCTGATCTAGTCAGAAGGGATGAGCCTGGATAGTGCCTAGGGAGTGTCCCACGGTGGCGAGATGTTATTTCCCTCGCCTGGTATGAAGAAGGTCGTGGGTTCCATCCTGACCCTGTCGTCTGTATATTTCTAGTCTGCGTGTTCTGCCCGTGTTACCGTGGCTTTTTTCTCCGGGGTCCTCCGGTTTTTCCGTGCCACATTTAGAAACACATGTTCAGAGTATTTGGCAGATAAGCCACTTTGTTGAGCTATCAATTGTGGCCAGATAGCTTCTGACGTTGCGCTATATAGCTCAGTGGACCTTACCTGGTAAAATACAAAAAAAATTGTAATACATAATATTGTGGATGATATTGGTCGCGAAAGCCTACGTGTTAAACCAAATTTGTAATTGTTTAGTTTAGAAACATGTACAGTAGATCCATATTGATTAAATGTGCAGTAGACCTTGTGGGCAGTAGAGGGCAGTACAGCATAATTCATTGCTGTTCTGCACGCCTCCTAAATTTGCTAACCTACACTGACCAGCGTGGTGAAGTATGGCGAATAATTTTTCATGACCTGGAAGGTGTGGGGAGGCCCTTATTCAGCTGTGGATTGATCATGGTGGATGATGATGATGCAGAGCCCATTGAGACCAGAAGTCTTTCAATTGAGGTCTGAGTAAAATACAGACACCATTACAGCAGAGCTGTCGGTACAAAGTTAAACAGAATTTAGAATTATTGTTAAACTTATTTACCCAGGAAAGCCTCATGACTCGTTTTCAGGAGGGTCCCGCCAAGGTTCTGCAGGAGGAGGCGACGTATAAACCCAATTGATTTTATTTCAGCGGAACATTTTTCCAATTGTGACCATGACCCCGACACACAATGACCCACTCTTGCGAACGACGTGCGGTATTAACCGGGGTGGCCGCTTGATTCGTACCGTGAACCGCTGCTACGGGCCGTGAACCCCCCGGCCAAGTCACCACCTGTTGAAACGCCGTAGCGGCAAGCAGCTTCCACTTGTGGTCTTGGGGCCATCGTGGAGGTGCCCGTGCCAATCCGTGGCTCCCCGCCAAAGGTGAAATGTGAAGAAGCAACTTAAAAGTGTTGCCAGGTTAGGTGCCATGGGTGTGGGGGGGCTTTTGTGAGGGGTTAGTGTCAGGGCTAGTGCTTGGGGCTAGTTGGCTATTTTAGTTAAGAGTTCAGGGTAGGGCGAGGTTATGGTTCGCGAGTCAGGGCACCACGGTGCTGAGATTCCTCGAGCATAAATAATTATTTAGATTCTGATTCTGAGATGTTAACTACCTCGCCTGGTATACAGGATGTCGTGGGTTCGATCCCGCCCCTGACGCCTGTATATTTGGAGTGTGCATGTCTCTCTCCCCGTAGTCGCGTGTATTTTTCACCTGGTCCTCCGGTTCTTCCCACCACATTTAGAATCAACATCATGCGTTTAGAGTATTTGCCTGCTATAAATTTCCACATGATAAGCCACTTCCGTTGAGCCATCATTTGTTTGCCAGGTCACTTCTGAAAAAGAGCTACATAGCTCAGTGGGCCTTACCCTGATAAAATAAGAATAGTTTATCTTCTTTGGTTCTTTCGGTAAAGTCACGTAGAATGAGAATAAAATAATAAATTGATAAAATAAAATAACACAATAATATTCTCACGACGTTTCGGCCACAACACAAGCGGCCTTCATCAGGTGAAGGGACGAGACTGTCTGGTAGGACAGCGCTGTGGCCGAAACGTCGTGAGAATATTATTGTGTTATTTTATTTTATCAATGTATTATTTTATTCTCATTCTACGTGGTGACTTTACCGAAAGAACCAAAGAAGATGAATCCTTGCAGTCACGAAAGCTTTAAATCGAAAAATAATAGTTTAGTTTTAGTGTCGTTTCGTCTGCTGCAGCCCCTAACAAGTTTCACCTCCCCCCTCATCATCGCAGCGCTTGACTCAAGTCTCGCTTTGTTTACACTTCTCTCTTGCCATGTTACAGTCAAGTGTGTGGCAATGGGGGCCCGGCTTAGAGAACACGTAATGCATTCCATGGCTTGAATCACCTTCATGCCAAGTTATGCTTTGGGGAAGAAAAAAAAACGTTGAGCTGGCATGCGCTTCCAAGTGAGCCGTGCGGCATTGCTGAGCACAGTTTGTACGCGAACAATTATATGCGCGTGGAATGGTTATACGCGTGTGATAATTGATTGCTTTCAATCTTTTCGGCGGTCTGAGCACATTGCATCCTGTGTATAGCGACGAAGCTGCCGCCTGGCGCTGAACACAATCTGTGTCTGTTCTCCCGGCTCTAAAATGATTTAATGTCTGGTGGGCAGGGCAGGGCACGAAAGGGGAGAGGCTGATTTTGGCTAGACCAGAAGAAGTCAGTCCTCATTTATCAAAGGTTCCCGAAGCGCCGAGTGCTTGACCCTGCACAAACTAATTTTACGAACTGACAAAAGCGTCGCTGACCTCTGGCTCCCTGTGTCTGACCGTTCTTTTGATCTTCTTAATTGCTGGAACAGCAGCGGAAGTTCAGGGCCTCTTTGCAAAGAAAAGCTAATACTGCTGCAAGGAGGCAGATGATGTCCACTTGAAGATGGGCGACTCTCCGTGATTCCCAGGCTTTTACTAGCGTGAACAAGCGTAGTAGTGGCCGTAGTAATAATACTAACAACAGTCTGTTCTCCTATAGCGGTTGCGTTCCCGAAGAGCACCGCGTTATGGGAAAAATCGCGTTACAATGTAGGGTGAAAAGCACAGTCCGCGGGAGATGCTTACGCACGAAGACCGAGGCGCATGGGGTAGCATCGAGACGCATCCAGCAGCATCCCAGTGCCTCGTGCGACGACGCTACGCCGAGGCGGCCGTGCAACCGCTCGTTCCTGCTCGCGCGACGGTAGTCCCTCGGCTGCGTTGTATATCCGCATTCGCGCACTCGCGTTACGTTAAAAGAACAAACTAAAAATGCGCTCCCCTAATCGCGTCCGTCGCGTCCGTACATCCGATTCGCGCGATGCAAACAACGCACGCTGCGGGCGAGCGGACCGCGCGCGTCACCACTTGCTGCGCCCTCGTGTCCCCAGCGTGGTGGAACCCAGCGCCCCGAGCCGGCGGGAGCTCGCCGCGTTCCACTCGGACGACTACCTGGAGCACTTGGAGCAAGTGAGCCGGGACGGGGACGATGACCACCCCGAGTCGCAGCTCTACGGCCTCGGTGCGTCCGCGCGCGTGCACACGACAGCAACGACAGCAACGAGCCGCCCTTCGCCACTGAATGGCGGTGACGTTCACCGCTTGGCGCTTGTGCCAGGCTGTCTGCACTTTTAAGGCCACGTGAAGTGTCCAACGCCCGCTGGCAGGAGGTCACGGAACAGACCCAGGTGCCGTGGGTTGGCTGAAACACACGCCACGGTGGTGAGATGTCAACTACCTCGCCTGGTATACAGGAGGTCATAGGTTTGATTCTGGCACTGACACCTGTAGTGTTGGAGTTTGCGTGTCTCTCTCTCTGCCCGTGGTCGCGTGGATTTTTCTCCGGGTCTTCCGGTTTTTCCCTCCACATTTAGAATCAACGTGCATTTAGAGTATTATTTGGCTGCTATAAATGACCACGTGATAAACCACTTCTTTGGGGATTCATTTGTGGCACAGTCCCTTCTGAAAAGGAGCTACGTAGCTCAGTGGGCCTTACCTGGTAAGATAAAAAATAGTTTATTTCATAGTCCACGCGTGTACGGCAAAGACAAAGATGCGTGTATGTTTAACTTCTTTTGCACCGTACGTAGCCAACCGTGATAATCGGAGGTTAGCGAGCAGCGCCTGTGAAGGCTGGCGCTGCGCCTGAGGGCGTGGTGGTGTCCGGCAAGGCACACGACGGGGGTTGGCACGGCCAGCACCGCGCCCGACCGCTTTTGTCTCCCCAGTGCTGACGTTTACACACCGCGCCAGGTGCCCATTTAAGGCGGAGTCGGCGTAGGGGACGCCTCGGACCGGTTTTCGGGAATTCATCACTCGTGTTGGCCGTGATTGGGAAATGAACTCGGATTGCCGAGTTCGTAGCGCAGTGCGATAACCCTTACAATAGCACTGCCCACTGGGATTTTTGCACTCAGCGTTGGTGTACGGTGCTTTTTCAGGAATATTTTGCTGTTTTTTCCTGGATTTTCTGTTTGCACAGTCACATAGTCACTTTAAGATGTTTGCTTGTTTTAGTTTTTTGTTTGTTGCGGTTGCACCCGATTCAAGAGCCGAATGGCTCACAGGGCTATACCAAATAAATGAAACTGAAAAACTGAAAAAAAACGTGCATACACACGTACGGAATTATGGGATTGCCTGCAGATGCTGGGTACTTGTTGATTCACCCGAGCAGAGATTTGATGAATTCCAACGATGCAAGGTGGCAAGTCAGACTCAAGAATATAGATTTTTAATTTTGATTTAGAGATTTCGTGACTGCAGGGATTCATATTCTTGGTTCTTTTGGTAAAGTCACGTAGAAGGGAAACAATAAAATAATAAAATATTTATTTTTTTATTGTTTCCCTTCTACGTGGTGACTTTACCGAAAGAACCAAGAATAAGAATCCCTGCAGTCACGAAAGCTTTAAATAAAAATTTAAAGGTTTTATTTAACTTCACTCGTGTTTGTCGTGGTCAAATCTTGTAATCAAAAGTTAGCCTACTTCCTGTTCTTTGGTTCTTTCGGTAAAGTCACGTAGGTAGAAAAATAAAACGAAATAAAAATAATTCAACACGACGTTTCGATTGCAACACAAGCGGTACGTCCTCAGGCGGGAAAAAATTATCCAGCAGTGGAACTGTTGTCCAATGAATTCCACATTTCGCACACGCACTCAGATCCGGTGACAATGCATGCAATGTATCAACATCGGCATCAATTAATCAATCAGTTGGCTCTCTTAAAGCAATTAACATTTTCGTGTGGACGGCTTATTAATTTAATATTGTGTGTAGGTCAAAAAACGCCGTGTCTCTTGTGATCAAGATGTCGCCCGCTTTCCCTTGTCTAATCGAGTCATTTACTTTTTAGTGCACTTTAAAATAAGTAATATTTAAAATAACCTTTTTTAAACACGTTTTTATGAAATGTACTAGTAATGGAAGAGCTCCAGAAAGTGGCCCCGAAGCTCGCCATAACGTAAGGGGACCGTGGGCAATTACAGCCAACGTCAGTTGAGCGTGGACAATTAGACCCAAATTTTGATTTAAAGCTTTCGTGACTGCAGTGATTCATATTCTTGGTTCTTTCGGTAAAGTCACGTTGAAGGGAAACAATAAAATAATAAAAATATCTAAAACAATAAAATTCTCACGACGTTTCGACTGTAACGCAAACAGTCATCATCAGGCGTGAAAACCCAACGGCAAGAACATTTGAAAGAAGTGGCGGTTTGTATTTATTTATTTATTTTTAAAACGTTAGCACCACGGATAGCGATTTGACAGTTTGTTTAGAAGGACGAGTCCATCTATGTTCGGAAAGAGAACATTTGACAGTTTGTTTAGAAGGACGAGTCCATCTATGTTCGGAAAGAGAACATAGATGGACTCGTCCTTCTAAACAAACTGTCAAATCGCTATCCGTGGTGCTAACGTTTTAAACCGCCACTTCTTTCAAATGTTTCTTGCCGTTGGTTTTTCACACCTGATGATGACTGTTTGCGTTACAGTCGAAACGTCGTGAGAATTTTATTTTTTATATATATATTTTAATTAGACCCAAGTCGAAACATAACATATAAAAAAAGAATGTTTAAAAATAAAAAATAAAAATATTTAGTTTGAATTTTTTTTATTGTTTCCCTTCTACGTGACTTTACCGAAAGAACCAAGAATAATATTCTAGATTTTGTCGAAAGATTTTTACCGTCTCGTTTTCTGTTATTTCTGTTCTGTTCTGTCTCGTTTTTCCTGTTTTCTCATCCTGTTTAGCCTACTCCGACTACTAATAATAGAAATTATCAGGGTAATAAGTTTGTTAAGAAAACAATGGAAATAATAACATTCACCTTTGTATTTAAGAAACGTGCGGTCGCAGCACGTGGCTTAATTCAGAGCAGAATATATTTTAGGATTCTAAGCATTTAGTGCCGGCAGCATAGAAGCTCCAACAGCCAAACTAAAGCAGCATTCACGAGCGAGAGACGTTCCAATCCATTCCGCACTCTTTACCTTGTTTTTCATTTCCCTTTTTTTATTTACGGCTGTACTAAGAGTACTCCCTGAGATTGCCCCGCTCACGAAAGGCATTTTTATTTATTTATAAAAATACGATGAAACGATTGTTCATCGCGTTGCTTTATGCCTGGCCGTAAACAAACCTCAAGGGACGTGGCAGCGCCCCCTACCCCCACCCTCACCAGCGTAGGCCGCGTCCACGGCCGCCGCCGTGATCGTGATTTTTACGGGTCGAACGCGACGAGGAGGGGAGCGAAATCGTCTTCTTCTTCTTCTTGACTCGCTTGCAGATTGAAAACTCATTTCGTCTCCGATGAGCACGGTTGGCTATGTACGGTGCGAAAGAAGTTCAACGTACACAAATACATACACGCCTTTATTGGATCCAGATCCACGCTCGCCACCGTTCCAACAAGCGCCCGCCCGCCCGTTGCCCCCCCCCCTCCCCTCTCCCCCATCTCGGTGCACATAAATTGCACGTAATTGTTAAAACAAATTCCTGCGCCTGCATCCCATCGCAAATTCCTCGCACGTATCCTCAAAGTCTCGTGCGTTCGCCCGGGAGCCCGAGGTGGAGGCCGTAAAAGTTGACGCATGGGGGGGGGGGGATGGGTGGGTAGGTGGGGGGGGTAGGTGGTGGGGGGGGGGGAACCACAGCAGCGCGCGTGGCCCTCGAAGGGCGTCGCGGCCTCGCTCGTCCAGCTCCGACGCCGACTCGCGCCTCCGACCTTTTTATTTCATTCCTCGCAGCAGCAGCAGCAGCAAAACGTGATTTAGCGCACCGGACCGCGCCGCCGACCGACCGACCGACCGCGACAACGAGGGCGCGAACGCAAAATTGGCCCGAGGTCGCGGGTCAGAAGTGCCGCTTGACGCGAACCGTCGCCACCGATGAGATGCGAGAGAACAGAACAAACAACCGCCAGCACGTGCCGTCAAAGTGATTTCTCGCTCAGAATGAGCGCCGAGGGTCGGTGCTCGTATCGCTTTTACAGCCCTGAGCCAGTGGCGGCAAATTCCACGCTCCGAGGGTGGATTCTTATTCAACCGATCGATCTGCTCTGCAAGTAATATCATAGGAGTTTGGGGTTCCTAGGGCCACGTTCAAGGAGGAAATGTTCACGGTCATGTGACTCAGCAGGACCGTGGGAGATGGGTGGCGGCGTCGTAGCGTGTCCTTCGTCAAGCAGTGGAATGACCGATTACGATGATGATGATGAGGAATTAAAATCAGATGCGGAAGGGTGATGCCGTGGTAGAGGGCTTGACTCGCAAGGTTGCAAGTTCAAGTTCCAGTCGGGAATCAACTCCGCGTCCCATGTTATCTCTGTGGTCGGTAAAATTTAAATAGGTACCATTTTGTGGAATGTCCCCAGTGGCTGAAATTTAAATGCACTCGCCACTTCCACAGAAATCTTGAATCTCCACTGCACGCGTAGAGCCGCTCATCACGGACACACGTAGGAATGAAAATCCAATCCAATGCTTTGTGTAAATTATGAGAAACGCCTTTGAGAATGCATGCAGGTGGGAAGCAAATAGATTTCACAGCACACAACAGTGCGCTGATCACAAACAGCAGGATGGCACGACTCCCATCCACACGCCGTGGCACGCATTCCATTTCGCGACATCATTGCATGCGTGAGCACGTTGACGAACGTCTCAATAACGATCTCCGAAGACTCCAATCGCTTGTTGCTGGAACTTCTCTTCATTTGGTGGCAGCGGTGCGGTTCATCGTCGTCATCGTCGTCATCACCGTCATGCCGCGTCAACAGAAGAGCCGCCGTTCATCGGGACGGACCAGCAGGAGCCGAGAACGCAGTCCTCTTCAGCAAGCCGCAAGAGTTCGTCCCGGCCAGAGACAAGACTCGCTGGCCATCGAACAAATACGGTCACCGCGTCGCGCGCTTTTAGATGTGCTCCTGCGGCCGTCTGGAACGCTCTTCCTTCCGATATATATTCGGTTGAAAACTCATTTCTTTAAAATTGCTTTTTGTGTTTAGTTTG